CTTTTTCTCTCCTTCTTTCCCCCTTCGACTGGCCCCCTCTCTCCCGTCCCCTCACTTGGCATATGACTAACCTTTCTCCCCTCACTTGTTACATTGCCAGGGTGCGAATGGTAAAAAGGGATCAGACCTCACTTGGTGGAGAAAGAGGGCAAGGGAAGGGTAGCCGGTCCCTTGTGCCACCAAGAAGGCAAAGGAAAGGACGGTTGAGAAAGTGGGAAAAAAAGGCGGAATTCAGGAGAAAGTATAAATGGAAGCAAGGTCAGTTTGACTCAACCATTTCCCCGACTGCATGACTATGAGAAGAGGATGAACTGATTGAGCAAAGAGATGGAACAAAGAGCAGCTAAAGAGCATGGAAAGATAGGCATGTGTGAAGGGCTATGTGTTGACCCCCAACAGGGGATTGTATGGATCTTTGCTTTGTGTGGGATTGTGTAGGTAAGTGAAGGCTAAGGATGCCTTGAGCAGGATAGGGCCGGGAGGATTCGGGCATCGAAAGGAAAAGGGAAGAGGGGCAAAGGGGCTATGGGACCCTTAGCATAAAGCCAACCCATGGAAATGACCTTAGCGTTTGAGACTTGGAGCGTAAATGAGAAAATGGAGTGCAATCTTGCCAAGGGAAATGTGAAGTTGTGTGTGCATGCGTGTAAAGGCCCCCAAAAGACTAAGGGGTCTGCGTCAATAGGGTTGGATGAGAAGTATGGGGCTCGATGGGTGCGTAGAGGTGAGGGGGAGGACGACATCGCCGCACCCCGATAACGCCATGGGAACACGATACTTAGGAAAATGGTGTGCGGCCTAAGGATGACACTTAGCCTGCGTGTCAGCGGAGGGAAATGAAAATGGAAAGGGTAGATGTGCGGGTGGAACTTGGGGATAGGGGAAGCATGAGGCGACCCGTCAGAACCATGCGATGTGTACCGCCTCCCTTTCTGGTGGATGCGGTCTTCGGAACCCGAAGCAGGCTAGTACGGATATGCCAGTCCATGACGAACCTCGGACTATACCAGTGCGCCAGAGAAGACTTCTTTCGGTTGTTAGTAGAGATGGGACCCTTTGAAGGGAATTGGGTGGAGGAGCTGGCTGAGATGCTGAACTGCCTTAGCGTTAACAATGTTTTTGTCCCTAGCTCTGTGCATTGGGGGATAGTCTACAGAAATGTGGCAGTAGGGGAGACATTCCTGGAGGGGGTGAGGGAGTTGTTCTACAACGAAGAGGACGACTTCAGTGTTGAGGACGAGGATGATGAGATGGAAGACTGGGACTTCTAAGAAGGGTGACTTACTTAGGGAGACTGAGTGGCCAGGTATTGTGCAGGAAGGAAAAAAATGACTAGAGAGGAATTCCTGATGGAATATACCTTCAAGGTATGGGAACCAAGGCGACTCAGGGGGGGGGTAGAAATGCGTATACCAGCAGAAAATGAGTAGAGAGGAACCACATGCGACTGGGGTGGGTTTGAGGTTGCCCCGTGATTATCATATGTATGGATAGAGCGGATTTGGAACCCGATAAGGGAAGAGGAAGGTTGGGATGAGATAGCAGAAGGCAAAGTGGAATCAGTCGGGACGGTCGTTCTTTCCGAAGATGGGTGGCGCCTATTTCGCACTATGTTAGCAACGGGACAGGATCCAATGTGGCTTCTAGGGGATGAGGAGGCGCGAACCCGAAAAGAGGGCAAGAGGTTCGCCAACGAGGGATGGGACGAAGTCAGTAGTAGAGTTGTGATGGGGCGATGGAAGGAACTCAAGCCTCCCGGCCTACGAACAACGGCGTGGATGCCTGAATTCGTGATCGGGTGGTTTGGGGGTTTCGAACACATCGTAGATGTGGTCGGCTCAATGAAAGAAGTACACATAGAGTGTGCCTGACTGACTGAGGAATTTTATAGGATCTCATTAAAATATGGGCCCTTCTACGGAGATAAAGTCGGGGAAGTCCTCACCGTCCTGAGCATAGGAAAGTATGACCGCCTAGAGGTGGACGCGGAGGCTTGGGATGCCATAGTTAGCCGGGAGATAGCGGCCGCTCCATCCTATGTGGATGATGTCTTTAAACTGTATGAGGTACAGTGGTTCGATTAAAGGGACCAAGAAATCGAACACCGTAGGAAGGTAGGAGTATGGAGGACGAATGTAAACTAGGGTGTAACATAAGAAGAGAGGGGGGGGGGCATGCACACTAGCTTAGCAGGTCAGGAGAGGGGATTGAAACAAGGGAAGGTGTCCGACCATTGTAGGCATGGATGTAAAAGGGAAAGGGCATCTAAGCGGGAAAGGAAACAACAGGTAGATGGGCGGTTGCTGAAGAACGAACCATAATCCTTTCTATGTGGAACTATGCAGGAAATTACCGAAACAGCAATGGCGGCAAGACGTGTGCGGATGGAATGCCAGCCCCGGTACCCCGGACCACCCTAGAAAATGGAAGGAGATGAGAAGTGTTCCTTTCGTCAAATTCCAACTTTCGGGGATTCGACGTGGAATGGCGGGTCGTGACTCTAGGGAGAGACGGCGCCTTCATGTTGGTGGAATGTCGGTGGACGGGGATGAAACTCAACCGGGGGATTGGGGATGACCTGTTTTCCAATTTAGAGGTAACCGGGGTCTTGTACCTACCTGAGACTGGCTGACACTTGCTGGGGATAGGAATATCGCAAGGCCACGAGCTGGCTCTAGTCTTTCAGAGGGCGGCCCAGGTGTTGACGCTGATAGGACAATCAGTCGGGGGTAGGAGAAACGTGGACTTACTCACCAGGGTGGAAATGGGAGGTTGGAGGGAATTCAGGGCACCGATCATACCGCTGAGATGCCGGGTCCCCCGATTCATGATAGACCTCATTTTCGGGAGCCTCGCAAGGGCGCAGGAGCTGACAGACTCGACGATAATCAGGATAGACCACTTCCCCTACCAGACCATCGGAATGTTCTAGGACGTTGTTGTGGAGCATGGGCCGTTATGGGGAAACAGGGCCCATGATTTACTGGAAGTTATCCATATTCTGATATTTGGGTTGCCACGGCTAGCCTGGGCGGAATACGAACACATAATCTAGAGGGAAATCGAAATAAGAAAGAGTTATCTAGCAGGGGTGACTCAACTATTCGAGGAGCGTACCGAACCGGAAGGGCCGGGAGGACGAGAACGGGACTAGCATCCGGGGCGGGCCAATAGGGCAAATCAAGTATAGTTCGCTACGGAAATAAGAAGGGAGCTCGGAACCGGACGATCAATACCCGCTAGAGAACAAAGGGGGGAGGGTAGACTCCTAATGCTTGCCATGACCCTTGAGGACGAAAAGGGGAATACTGCTCGGGAAAACTTTCCTTAGCATGATGCCTAACAAGGACTCCTACGCGCCGGCCCGACGGAACAGGGGCACTCTAAACGAGCCTGTGATAAAGGGAACTAAGCCGTGTCCCTTACCTCGGTAGGGCGGCAGGGCCGGCAGGGCCGGCCGCGACTCCTTTTTAAGGGAGTAATCGGGGAACGGAAATAGGGAGAAGGTTACTATCCGGATAAAGATAAGCCAATGAAATTGGAACCTATGAAACCTAAATGCCTCGTGCTGCGTGTGTCATGAAGAATCCGTTGGTTTATGCAGAACTAGGCAGAATGGCAACGGAGGATGAGACGGATAATCGTAGGAGCGAAGGAGGGTCAGGGTTAGGAGGCAGTGTCATGCAGAGCGAAGAGGGTCAGAAAGACAGAGAATCGATAAATCCGGATGGTATCAAAGGGAACCGGAAGGAAATCTCCTCGGGGGAAAGCTCGGGGAAAGTTGGCGGAAGCAGGCAAGGAACTCAGGAGACCAAGGAAGGCAGAAATAAGGATACGACAAGCCCCCGAAATTCAGAAGAGGCTGTGTCTAAGAAAGTGAGGGTTACAGATGCGAGGCGCAAATTAGCGGAGATAGAAAAAAGGAACGTGGAGTACAAGGCAAGATTGATCAAGGAAATGATGACTGGGAACGAAGAAGACCCTCTGCAGAAAGAACCGCGGGACGAACGGAGGACCGGTCGAGGCGGAATCGGGCAAGGGGATAAGGGTAGTGACCTTGGGGGAACACCGAGCAAAAGAAGGAAAGAGAGAGAGAACTTCCCGGGGATGGAGGCAAAGAAAGCTACGAACCCACCAGCCATGGACACTAGGGCTAGCCATCTGCCGACCATGCCAGCGGTAACGTGTTGATGTGAGGGACTCTGGAGCCTTAGGGAAAGGGTGTTGGGATGGTTCGACCCGGAAGGAACTGCAAAGACTAGGGAGGGACAGAAGGCTGGCAAGGAAGGACCGGATACCAGTATGGTGGGCGAGGCCAGTAGCTCCGAAGGCGGCCTTAGGAAGATAGTATCGTCCCTCGGGCGAGCACTGAACAAAAATCAAGGCTACCTAGCAGACGCTAAGAAAAAGTTGACATTTGATGGGGCGAACATCACGAAATTCCTGATAGATTACGAGAATCTGGCCGCGTTGTTGAAATGGACCAAAGAAGAAAAAATGGAGCACCTGAGGCAGCATGTGGCTTTGAGCTTGGGGCGGGACATAATGGCCATCGTAGCCGCGAGTCGATCCTGGAAGGAAACCCGGGATGTAATGATGAGGAAATACCTGGCAGCGGAGAAGATGGCAACGGAGGCCGACTTAGCGGCCATCCAGAGAAAGAACTTCGCAACGTACAATGACTTCCTACGGGAGTTTACCCTGGTAGCCCTAAGGATCCCCAGGGTTACGGACAGGATAATGAGTAAGTACTTCCTCATGCAGTTCTCCGAGTTCGACAAGGACAAGATCTTGTCGGTTTACCAACAGACGAGCAAATTCGCAAAACACCAGGGATGTTGATTTCAGTACGGCAACAGATCTGGCCGAAAAGACTGTAGTGACCCAGACATTGGCCTTGCTCAAGGAAGGGGAAGTCATAGATCTGACTGGTAGGCCAGGCGACAAGGTAAAGAAGGGGATTGAAAGTCTACATGAACGGGTGCACGGAGTCGACAACAAGATGGAAAGGGTGGAGAACGCGCTACTGGTTATACAGGCGCAAGTATCCCGACCCGCCCTCCCTCCGCAGGAAGCCGTAGTTCCGCCAGGGGTAGCCAATCGAGGATTCAGACGGAGAGATCTCGCTAGTAATAAGCAATGTAAGTACTGCACCGCAATGGGACATTATGTGCGTGCATGTCCAAAACTCAACCATGATATATTAAAAAGGAGATGTATCAGGTCATTAAAGGGAGAGATATTCGGACCACAGGGAGAACGGGTGAATTGGAACTCGCCAGGGGGAATGTGGCGAGCCATTATCATGCTCAATGGGCTAGAGATAGCGGTCGTAGAAGCTGAGCCGGTGGTCGATATCATCTGGGATCAACCTCGGGGACGCGGGGCGCAAGTCAACTTCATTCTGGAAAACGATGGACGCGATAGGGTGAACGCGACTACTCGGCTAGGGACGGTTGGAAGAAGGATTATCCGTGACACCGTGATGGAGGAGGTTGCTGGGAGCTCCGTACCCCAGGCAGAACCCGAGGCCGGGGAACCAGAGAAAGTCTATCGGAAGCCTAGGGAAGAGGAACCTACAGACAAAGTTACCGCTGCTAAAGAGAAACTTAGATATCAAATCCCGATCTTAACCATGCCTGAGATCGATGACACCCTTAGCAAATTACTAGGAACCATGGTATCAGTGTCGTTTCAGACCATGTTGCAGGCCAGCCCTAGGTTGCTCAAAGGGCTTAGACAATTGTTCACTCGACGACGAGTAGAGATAGACGAAAACCCCGAATCGCCAGAAGGGGAAGGGGAGGAGGAAGTTTCGCAAGAGGTCGCTAACCTTCAAAGGAGTTGCGGGGATTTGGAGGATCTCGAGAAACTCTTTGCGGACATCCGCCTGAGCTTGTCAGACCGAGAAGGTGGCGAGGTCATGAGGTCACCTCCCGGGACAAAGCTCAACTTCCATGTGCTACCTGTAGGAAAGTTGAAAATCCAGATCGGGACTCATCATACCGACGCATTAGTAGACAGGGGGAGCGAAAATCACTCTCATAAGGAAAAATTTCGCAACAATCACAGGCTGTACGGTAAATAAGGAAGTAACAGGAAGCATCCGGGGAGCCGGTGGGGAAATTCCGTTCGTAGGGTATGTCACAAAATGCGCAGTCAAGGCAGGCATCAGGGAATCGATCTAGTTGTTTCAACGGATGACAGTAATGGAGCAAATGGACCACGACATAATCCTCGGGAGACCATGGTGCGCAAATGTAGAAATGATAGGCATGCACTTGCACGATGGCACGTACATGGTAGACATGACCCAGTGATCGGCCGGGGAGAGCTCCTCCGACTCCTTGGGACGGGAGGAGACCCTCCGAAGGGGAAGTTAGCAACATGATCACCATCATTCGAAGATAGCGCGCGAAAGGGGGCTTTTGCACGGATGGAGGGCATGAGAGAAAGGGTAGAGATCATGATCAAGGAAGCATTCAATAAGAAGGAATGGATCAAGATGGGCCTGCCCCAGAAGAAGAGAAGGCAGGAGGACGAAGTCTTAGGTGTTATGGTGGCAGAAAGGGAATCAAAAGTCGAACTCGGAGCCAACCTGCCCAAGCAGAAACAGTGCGCATGGACATACCTGAGGTCGCACTCGAGATTCCCGATTTGTTACAGTTCATCAAGGTCATCAGATACCACAACGTAGGAGTGGACTCGGCGGCATTGGCCAAATTCGAAGGAGAAGTGCAAAAGGGATATTGTCTGAATGGAAAATTAGTCAGTATTCAACCACGAATCGTAGAGGTAACGAAGGTAATCCCGGCCGTTCATTTTTTAGGAGAAAGCTCCCAGAAGGAAGTGTTCGAAAGTACAAGCCGGTAGGGAAGAAAGCAAAATCGGTCTCGATCTTGCTAGAGACATCAAAGGAACAGGCTATGGAGAAGGAGGAAGAAGCCCTTCGAGTGATCCAAGAAAGGAGAGCGACGGAAGGGCATCGAATACCGGATGAGGTATCTGATACAATGAAGATAGGGATAGATGGATTCTTAACGGAAGAAGAAACTCACCTGATCAAAAGGACCTGCCAGGAGTTTCACCTAGCATTTGCCTTTAGTGATCACCAAAAGGGACGGCTGAATGCGAAGCTGATCCCTCCGGTCAGAATCCACACGGTAGAGCATGAGTGCTGGAATGACAAGGGTCCTGCATGTGAATTTGGGATAGCGGGGGAAGTAACAGACCTTCTTCGAGCAAAGATGGACCCCTTCGTCGCAGAGCCTACGGCGTCGCCATACACGAACCGGTGGTTCATCTTTCAGAAGCCCAACAAGACGCTGAGTTGCGTAGCACGGCGAACGTGTTCGCGCCCCTTCATGTTCGCACGGACGTGTTCGCGCGTTCGCGCGAACAGCTCGCGAACATGTTCGGGCGAACATAATTTTTTTTCGTAAAAAAAAATAAAAATAAAAAATAAAATATTTTTTGGTTTTTTATTTTTAACTCATGATTGGCTACAAATTCGAACATGACTCCAAGGCAAACGTTGCTTGTATTGTTATTTTACATAACATAGAGGTTTTTCAGATTTTTTTGAGAATTGTCTTTTTTTTTTTTAAATATTTTTTATGTTCGCGTTCGGAGGGTTTTGGGCGCTTTTTCGCGTTCGGGCGAACATATTCGGGTTCGCCTCCGAATGCCAACACGGTGCTACGTAGACGCTGAGGTAACCATCCGGGATGCTGGCTCACTGCCTCAAGCCGATTTATTAGCAGAGTCACACGCCGGCCGGAGCATTTACTCCCTGATCGATCTGTACTCATGGTACGACCAGCTTCCATTGGATGTTTGGGACAGGCCATACACCGCAATGCAAACCCCCGTAGACCAATTGCAGATGCAGATGACCCCTATGGGCTTCACAAACGCGGTAGCCGAAGCGCAACAGAGAATGTTTGCCATAGCCGGGGACATGTTCCCAGAGAAGTGTGAGTCCTACATCTGTGTATCTTTTTAACGCAGAACGGGGGAATTAAACTCCCGTTGAATCCCGTTAAACTCCAAAAAATCCCGTTGAATTCGCGTTAAACATGAAAATGGGCCGCTCTCGCGCTTTTCGAGAAAACGGAATTGATGCGAGGGGTCCGGAACACGTGACCCTAGGCAAAAAAAAAAATCCCCCCAACCCCTGAAGCACCTCCGATCCGCCCCCATATCCCCCAACCCCCAACGCCCCAGTTATGTGTGTGTAGGTGCGTTGTGTGTGCGCATATCTGTGTATGTGTGTGCCTGTCGTGAGAGTGTGTATATGCATGAATATGAATGTATGCGCGTGTGTTTGTGTATGTGTGTGTTTGTAAGTGTGTGTGTGTGTCTGTGCTTGTAAGTGTATGTGTATGTGTTGTAAGTGTGTGTTTGTAAGTGTGTGTGTATGCGTGTGTGTGTGTTTGTGTATGTGTGTGTGTGTGTATGTGTGTGTATGTTTGTAAGTGTGTGTGTAAGTGTGTGTGTATATGTGTGTGTGTGTTTGTGTATGTGTATGTGTGTATGTGTATGTGTGTATGTGTATGTGTGTGTTTGTAAGTGTATGTGTATGTGTATGCTTGTGTATGTATATGTTTGTAAGTGTGTGTGTGTATGTGTGTGTAAGTGTAAGTGTGTCTGCGCCTGCGCGTGAGAGTGTGTCTTGCCTTAACACACAGATTCCACTTGCACCCAAGGACCACCCTGCGCCACACCCAGCTTACAGCAGCGCAGCTCGGCTATGGCTACCTGCTGCTTCCTGCTCGCCCGTGAGCGTGTGAGTGGCACGAGCTACAGCGCGGCAGCGCTTACGCAGCATGCAACCAACACTCGAATGCCCAATGTGGAGGCAGACCCTTTGCTATATCGAAGTGGCCTGCCTGTGTTCAGTCCCATGAAGCTTCCAGTAGGCCCCGGTAGCCTGAGGCACAGCACGAACGAGAACAGGCCTTGGGTCTGCGGTGGTTGCATGCCCCCAACTGCCTTTGGCCTGTGTTTGGCCCTGTACCCGTATCCAGCCCAGGGCCTGCTTTCAATATATTCACACAGGCGACCCAGGACCTGGGTTCCCTCAACCAACTGACGCCAGACTGATGCAACCTGCTACGGGCCCAATTTGGTATGTGTGTGTCTTTTTTTCCTTTTTTCAATTTGCTTTTTATGGTTTTGATTTTTTTTTAAATACACGAAGTTCAAAAAAAAAAAAAAAAAAAAAAAATTNAAAAAAAAAAAAAAAAAAAAAATTGTTGTACATCTTTGAAAGATCTACAACTCTCTCTCTCTATATATATTTTTTTTGTTTTTTTTAGCCCTTAAAAAATTTGTGTGAAACCCAAAACAAAAACACTCATTTCATTTTAGTTTTTTTTTTTCCATTGTGTGTTTGTGTTTTTGATTTTTTTAAAATAGATTTAAGCATCAAAAAATAAAAATAAAAATACAGGGTTGTAGTCCCCAACAAAACCCACAACCCCCTTTTTTTTTTTTTTTTTGATAATTTTTAGCCCAGGAAAAAAATCATCCCGGACCCCGTTAATTCGTGTTCAACTTGCGTTTGAACGGGAGTTTAACAAGAACTCAACGCGCGTTGAATTTTTCAACGCGAAACCCACGTTAAATCAAATTTCGGACACACAGCCCTATATCGATGATAATCCGATCAAAGGCGCGCAAGAGAAGGACGAGACGGAAGTCCAGCCAGGAATCCGAAGATTTATATGGGACCATTTACAGGACATCCAGGACTTACTCCGCCGGTTCCTAGTATACAACATCATGGCTAGTGAACCAAAGAGTATTCTAGCAGTACCGGAAGTAACTGTACTAGGATTTCGTTGCGGTGCTTACGGTACGAAGCCAAATCCGGCGAAAACAGACAAGATATCACAGTGGCCAACACCCCTGCGCACGACAACGGAGGTAAGAGCATTCCTAGGCGTGGTCGGCTTTTGAAGGATCTTCATTAAAAATTTTGTCAAGATTGCTGAGCCTATCCGGGCCATGATGAGAGCAGAAGGGACCATGGATTGGACGGAGGAGCGAGAACGAGTCGTCCAAACCCACAAGGACATACTAACATCGGAGCAAGTCGCCTTGTCGGCACCCTGCTTTAATGACGAAGTGGGATGGCCATTCATCCTACAAACGGATGGAGGACCCTTGGCCGTAGGAGGCGTACTGATTCAAAGGGATGAGGAAGGAAAAGAGAGGTCAATAAGGTTCGAAAGTAAAACCCTGAACTCCGCAGAACGGCGGTACTCACAGTTCAAGAAGGAGGTCCTAGCCATCTTGCATTGCCTCAAGACCTTCCAGGCCTACCTATTTGGGAGGCGGTTCATCCTTAGGATCGATCCGACGAATGTTGCAGGGGCCTTAAAGAATTACAGGCCTATCGATCCGACGGTGGGGAGATGGGTAAGATTTATCTGGCAGTTCGATTACAAAATCGAATGGATTGCGGGAATCAGAAACAAGGTCGATGGGTTGAGTCGGGTCTGCATCACTCCCGAAGGGGTGGAGGATGCGGAGCCCATAGACGCATTCTTTGAATACGAAGGAGGAACTCTTGAGGTGGACAATGAAATGATGGGCGAAGAATGCGCGTCGGGAGAGCTGTTGATCCGGACTTTGGAGAAGGGGGCACCTGTCATAGTAGCAGAACTTAGAGAAGGACCAGTCCCCACTCGAGGCCGCAAAGAGGAGAAAGATTCGTGGGGAGCGATAGTAGGACCGAAGGAGGAACTAATAGCAATGGTGGTTGAGGGAGGTCGGGAAGCCGTGATGAACTCAGTGGAATCTTGGGAAAGGAAGGAGTTGTGATGGATGATAAACCAGATGTAGGAAAGAAAGGATGAGGACTAGGAAGGGAAGAAGTTTTTCTATGCCCAGATATACGAAGGGATCTTTCGGGAGACCGGATTGTTGCTGGTAAGAAACAAACAACCCATGGAAGTCAGCACTAAAGCAAGAGAGGAGGCGAAAAGGTACGTCCTAAGGGGCGGCCATTTGTTCCGAAGAGAGTAAGGTGCTATGCCTAGAAGAGTTGGGTGCGGAAGATCTAGGCACTTAGACGTTATCTAGGCAATGCACGACGGATTAGCAAGAGGGCATCGATCGTCCAAAGGAACTCTCGCAAAGATAACGCCACTCTATTATTGGCCAAGCATGGCACGCATGGTCGCCATGTACTGCCAGACTTGCCTTATCTGCCAGGAATGAAGCTCGGCACGTGTCTTTGAGCCGCTTAAACCAACGCGGGTGCTAGGGCCAGGACATCTGGTCCACCTTGACCTTGCGGTCATGCCTGTATCGACAGATGGGTACAGGTATATCCTGGATGCGTGAGACAACTTGAGTGGGTTCGTGGAGGCGGTCGCTCTCAAGAAAAAGACAGGGAGAAGTATAGCGGACTGGATAGAAGACTTCTACTTGAGGCATCCTTTCGTGCGGAGGTTTATAGCGGACAATTGGACATAATTTGTGAACCACGAAGTATTTGGAATGCTTAAGAGACTCTGCGTACCGATCAAACTCATCGAGCCGTATCACCCGGAGGCCAATGCACCTGTGGAAAGAGGGCACCGAACGTTAAAGAACACGATTGCGAAGCTCGCAGCGGACCATCTAGGAAGCTGGCCTAGGTATCTCAAGCAGGCTGTCTTCTCAGAGAACATGACACCTAAGAGGACAACGGCATGTATCCCAGCAGAACTTTGGTACGTAAGAAAGATCGACTTTCCCGTCTAAGCCTTGATACCTACCTGGAACAGGTTAGATGATGATCTGCGAATGACCACGGAAGAGTTAATCGAGGCGAGGTGTCAACAAATCCTTAAGAACGAAGAGGTCATGGAAGACATCGTCAACCGGGTACTAGACAGCAGAATGAGGGACAAAGCAAGGTGGGACCAGGTTAAGAATGTCAGAAAGGAGCCACTTCAGGTGGGGGAGACAATATTGCTAAGGAACTCGGTACTAGAAAGTACTTTGTCTGGACAATTGGGGAGGAGGTTCAAAGGCCTCTACCGGGTCGCCAAGCGGGTGGGACTGAACACCGTCGAACTGGAAGATTTGGATGGAACTGGATTGAAAGGACCCGTCCCGGGGCAACGATTGGTCAGGTTTCTAAGTCGGGACCCAGTGGAAAAATGGCTTCAGGAGGCCGAGGATAGGGAAACTGAGGGGCTGCAAGCTAAGGACTGACAACGGCCTTGCCCACACTATGGTTCTGTCTCTGACTGCGTCCGTGGGACTGTCATTTTTTTTGGGGTTGGGGCAATGGTTTGGATTGACTAAGGTTGGAAGGCAGGATGACTTGGGAGTTTGCGGTAACAGGTTTGTGTGATAACGGGAAGGATTGTCGGGAGCATTGTATCATAGTTTTTGACGTGGAAATAATGGGATCATCACAAACGGGGCATTTGCATAAGGGAGGGAAATGTATAATAGTGGCAATATGCGAAGGATACTGGGAGCATTTTGGGGAAGGGAAGCTACCTACCGGACTGGGAAAACGGGTGTATGAGGGGTTTTGTGGGTGTTGTTTTTTTATACAGGACCTAGAAGAAAACAACACAAGAAAAAGTAAAAATGGAATTCGGCAACGAGAATGACAGGGGGGTGATCAACAGGCCTACCGGAGGGGAAGAAGTGGAACCGAGTTGAGGAAGGAGGACGACAAAGAGGAAATTATACATAGGGCTCATATCCGGGCGAGTGGTAGGCAGGGGTGCGAGAAAGCGCGTGTGTGAAGGACCCTCGCCCCTCCAAAAGGGAGAAGGTATATATATCTCATCTGGGAGTGAGAGCGAGGAGGAAAGGGCAAGTGCGGGAGAAGGGGGCAATGCGGACATGGGAGACAAGGCTCAGGTCTCTAACGAGGAAGGAGCCAAGATGTGCGAACAACGTGAGTCTTGGCATGGGGAAAGCGAGGGGAGACAGGACATGCGCGACGAGCGTGAGGACGGGGAAGAGAGAAGAGAAAGCCCGCTTGACGGACAGAGCGGCCACGACAGTTGTGAGGGGAGGTATCCGGACGTTGAAGAAGGATATGGAGGGAGGACAAAGATTCCCTATAACTACGATCCAAAGAACTTGATGGGCGGGCACAACCCCATACAGACGGAAGAAGATGAGGACGAGGAGGAGGAAGTGCAGGAGGTTATAGAAATCAGCAGTGGGGATGAAAGGGATGAAATCTTGAGGCCCAGAGAAGAGAGGCGGCCCCCGATATACCAGTTGCGCGAGGGAACATTCAGATGGGAGGATGGGTTTGGGCCAACGCCCAGCCACTGCTTTCAGCAATGGCTTAGTGAGATCAAACATGAGTGGATTATCAAGGCCCGGAAACTCGCAAAGGCAGGGGTGGTGGCCACACCATTGGATTTCTACAGCAAGATGGAGTTACGAGAAATTGCAAGGAGGAGAAGAGAAATCATGGCCTCCGGTCTGGGAGTTAAAGAGCCAGCAGAAAAACAGGATGGACAAGGGGCCGAGCAAGTTGAGGCACAGGACAGCAATAAGGATTCGATGTTGATTAAGTGTTGAACAGGAATCCTGCTTGATCATTTGCAAAACATTGGAACGACAAAAATGTGTATAGTATGAGTAAGCTTGCTAAGGATGACTAATGAGAGGGTCAACTAAGACTGTGTCACGATAAGTTAGAAGATAGCTTTTTTAGGCTACTTTCTGGATAAACTACCTTCGAAAGTGGGTAAACAAGACGATGATATGGGGCATGGAATGAGACCGGTTGGGAAGGGTGTACTGTAAATTGTTAATGGAATGAGGATTGTGCTTTTGAAAAGAGAAACTTTGAGTATAGAATGACGAGCAAAGCAAGGCATTGAATGTTGGTCTAGTACAAGAGAGGTTAGGGAACTTATGGGTTAAGGGGAGTGAAGAACACTCCTTCCCTAGGAGCCTAATCGAACTGAGTCATGAATGAGTCTGAGAATAACCGAAGATCTGAGTCATCAGAACGAGTGAAAATAAGAGAGGGCGCCCTTGTCTTTTGCTATGGTTGAACGGTCGGGTGGGCTAGTGCTGCTTGGGGTTACGAACCCCAACTCGAATACTAGATGCTAAGTCGAATGTATGCATGGATAGTACATTGCTTTGCGGATGAATGAGGGGAACTGCACGCAGAAAACTAAAAAGAGATGGTCACCTTCTAACCTCCGAGACAGAAATGGGATCAATGTCCTCGAGGCCCACCCCCTCGTGCGCTAACATTGAGAATGGAAAGGAATGACCCTGACCAGGCTGTTCGACTTGAGAATAGAAAGGAATGATCCTAACCAGGCTTTTCGACTTGAGAATGGAAAAGAATGGCCCTAACAAGGCTGTTCGACTTGAGAATGGAAAGGAATGACCCTAACCAGGCTGTTCGATTTGAGAATGGAAAAGAACGACCGTAACCAAGTAGTTCGGAAATGGTCCCTGACAAGGGTTATTTCTTTTGAAATAGGCACTGGGGTCCCCTGCATATTGGATTGAGAAAGGTTGATTGAGAAAGGTTGATTGAAAAAGGTTGATTGAGAATGAGCTAAAATATGCAATGAGAGATGGAAAAGGCAGGTGGGTCGGTCATTGAAATAGCCATGAGGATGGATGAAAGAGAATGATGTGTTGAAAAAAAGAGGGCAGGATAAAGATGGTCGAGCCTTAAGTCAAGAAGGGCATAGACCATTGGGACGGTCATAAGGAATGGATATTGGGGAATGTGAAAGTTGAGGATTGAAGGTGGGCCAACGGATCGGCCCTTGAAAAGATGACTATTGAGAAAGCGACCGCCAGAGCGGCCACAAGGGGTGGGTGGCCTTGTTGATGAGAGGTTGTCGGACTAACCATGAGAATCAGCCTTGGAAATAGCATTGGATTGAGTGTTTGAGAATTGAATATTGCATTGCATAGTCAGGGGACCCTAGACAACTTGATAAAAGGTCGTCGGGCCGACCATGGAAATAGCAAGAGATTGAGTTTTTTTTTTTTTCTAGTATCGGGTCTCAACATAAGGGGGATAGCAATGCATGCATCGCGACCCCAGGACCTCTACCCGTTAAGGGAAAAGTCTCAGCGCGACCTATTCCTCATAAGGGAAAATAAGGGTTGAAGGACCATGGCATCATTCTCTTTGATTGATGCTGGCCGTCCGGAACTAACTCCGACAATGAGCTCTAGTCAGGGAGTTCCAACTGCGCCTCATGTTGAGAACCTAAACGTCAAAAGGGCGTGGAACCAAACGGGCGAGAGAGCCATTCTTTTTCCTAAGTCTCATTTTTTCTCCCCAACCACACGCTATGTCGTAGAGGGGCGACACGACAGTTTGGAATGGACCAAGGCGGCTCGCATTAAGTTGAGCGGCACTGTCCAGAGAGAGGGGTCAGGCGTGGTACCGGGTGAAAGCCGCAACCGCCACAGGGCGAGTGACACCGCCCTGCCGGATCATTACAACCGTTCTGGGACTAACCGCGAGGTCTTCGTAACTGCACTCGCAAACTAATTGAGAGCCCCAACTCTCTTGAAAGGAAGAGGCCGGATCCAAGAAAACACCGCTCGGGAGGAACGATTCGCGAGAAAATCTTTACGGCAAGACGGGGTCCTGGGAGGTTTGGACTGGACCTACTTGCCGGATGTGAGGTGGTACCTCAGCAATGACGTCTGTCTCATAACGGCAGAAGGTCAGACTAAGCAGAAGGATGAGGTATTACCTGTCAAGGAAGGACTGATCACCCTTCCTTCTAGGAGCAGGTGGACCGTTGTTCTTGACTCAGTTGGTGGGCCAAGATCTGTGTTCCTCCGGGTGAGAACCAGTCGTGCGATGGGGACATCACATTTTGAGTGGGGGGAAGGTCTGTCATCTATCAATGAAAAAGCGTGCAAAAGATAAGGTTACCATGAACTCAAAAAATTGTGTAATTGACTTTGCGCAGGATTGAAAAAAAGTCTGGCAAGATGTCAAAAAGAAAATGCTTTTATAATTGACTTTGCATAGGCTTGAGAAAACACCTGGCAAGATGTCCAAAAGAAAAATGCTTGTACAATTGACTTTGCATGGGCTTGAGAAAAGGTCTAGCAAGATGTCCAGAAGAAAAATGGATGAGTAATTGACTTTGCATGGACTAGAGAAAAGGTCTGGCAAGATGTCCAGAAGAGAAATGGATGAGTAATTGACTTTGTATGGGCTTGAAAAAAGGTCTGGCAAGATGTCCAGAAGATAAATGAATGAGTAATT